TTGTAAAATACTGGTATACCAGTAATTTCAGTAATCTTAATAAAGTTTCCAACTATAACAATCAAACAAAATAATTCTAAATCTGCTTACATTATTCTACCAAATTTGTACTTAATTAATAATGTTTTCAAAAATCATAGACCTCCTGACCCAAACCATTCATTCATTCTTGACCCAACAGCCTCATTTTTTTCATTTCAAATAGTTACTTGTGTTTAATACACAGTCAGGTTGATAAGTCACTTGTTACTCAGTGTAACGGAACCAGAAACAAATAAGTGCAGGAAACATACGAGTAAGACCCTCACCTGCCCTTCCATGCTTAAAACATAAACACACAAACGAGGCCATTGGTCAAACGCAAATAAAAAGAAAAACTCATCAAAACAACAAAATTTATTACAATGAAACTAAAATAACAGTTCTTCAATATTGTTCTCCTGCAAAATACCATTTTTCAAAATTCAAGTAACAAACACAACTCAACAATGTTTACAATGTCGCCCCATGCACCCAAATTCCTAAATTTCACAAACCCTACTCATTCTTTTGCTTCTTATGAGCATTCTCATCCTCAACCAAGGCAGCGGCAAGTAGGTCATCTATCTCGTGTTCAGCTGATGGATCCTCTTGTGCAAAAGGTGTTGCATGCTCAATGATTTTTCTTTTAGAATCAACTCGTAGGGAAAACTTGGTGTTTAGTAACAACATGTCATCCTCAGTAGGTTTTGACTTTGGTTCACACCATTGGAACAAGTGCTGAATAACCTATTATAATAAACGAGAAAAACCACTTAAACTGCAGCTGTGGATATAAAAACACTCCTAAAAATGATTTACAATAATTTACAAAAATAGAGTAATCATCAAGTGGCCCAAGGGCATCAATGACAGTAAGTTACAAACAAAATCAATTGGCAAAGTATTTGCTATATAGACCATCATGACATCTTGGGCCCACCTAAGGAAAAAAATCAGTTCTTACCTTCGTATGTGCAGTAAACCACTGGTTGTTGTTCAACAAGACCATACACTTGTAAGCAGGTTGTAGCGTGGATTTTAGGAACATACAGCAACATGTTGGGCAGTTTATTAATGCGTTGTTCGTCTGGACATCATCAATCTGTATTGGTTTCCTGCAGGCTAGGCAGGAAAATGACGCGTGAAATTCCTTCACGGCAAGAATAGGTGTCTCCATCGTCATCACATTACACGTGGCAAGTGGACGCTTTGCTGGTCTTGCCACTGTCATTTCCTCCCCCAACACCGTTATCGACGTCTCGAAGGTTGTTGTCAGATTCAACTGACCATTGAATTTAGAGGCGACAGCGTTGTTGATTGCTATAACATCTCCATCTTTGAAAGAGACAACATCAGTCCGTTCTCGCCAGAGAATCAATTCCATCTGTCCCGTCGTATCGGCGAGACAAACAGTTCTTTTTGTCTTCGTGTCTGGATAGGTGCCAACCACACAAGGGTCCTCAAGACTCACGACCTTCGCTTTTACATTTAAAAATCTGTCGTCGCCGGTTTCTCCCCTTAAGATCTGTGAGATCGTATAGCTGCAATGTTCTATTTCAACTTGCGAGGCCGCCAGTGATATTTTCGTTTCATGGTCAAGCACCAACTCCGAGTTTGTTTTGTCCCCAAACGACTTCTTCACCTTGAACGACTCCAATTCGTAGGTTTTACTCGACTCGAGTTTGGAGTAGATCTCTTCATTAAACACACACAGCTCTTATCGTTGAAGATTTGTCCTTGTCGCACAAATTCACAGAGAACATGCTACCATTCCGCGTGGGTTTTATAGGACTCTTGTTGAGTATCGCACATGTTAACGCCTTTGACGATCTCCGAGGAGAACTTGGAGGAGGTAGTGCCTTTAAATCCTTTATCGTAGTACGCTCTGTAAAACTGTTCTCAAACTCCATCTGCAAAAATAAACACAAGGATACTTCATTTACATTTCACACGTGAACATCTTCATGACAGTGTGAACAAGTGCGATGTGTGTTGCCTCAAAAACACAAAGGCATTCATCAAAAATATATAAAAGAATATAACATATAAAAGTGCTGTAAAAGATAATTACCCTTTTGTTTAAACAATCGCTGACCAACGGATAAAACTAGGAAACCAAACCCACAAACTATGCACACACACTGCCGACAATATCAGAGAAGGAAACTTCGTTACTAAACTCCACCAATGTCTGACCACAGTGTGATCTGACTACCTGTCAATGATATAATGATAGTCCATTGAAACACGTGTCTGGTGTCTACAACCTAATGTAATGTAATACGATATCATGTAATGAGGTGTATAGGTGCTAGACATCAATCAGACCGCATCTTCCCTCATTCAATCAAACCGCACCTTCCTTCAAGGGTAAAAACGGCGAGACCGATCCTATTGAATTTCAGCACAAACAGATTCCGACAGCACATGATTCCAAACTCAGCATTATTCATATCGATAGCTACATCTGCCTAGCACCAATAACGCACTTTTACCCCAATATTCTGTACGAAGTGCTCTATTTACTACAAACTCTAAGAAAGAAACATTTTTCTAAAGGTATGAATATTGAGGAAAAACAGGAAATGGGGCACAGTTGGATGCAACTATTGACGCGACGCAGTTACTGCCAGAATGGGCGTCTTGTCTATTTATTATTTCTTCGTTTGTTCCATCTTGACTATTATTGTTGTTGTTGACAGGATCCATTGCCTTGCCCAGGGTTTCCTTAAGTTTAAGTTTAATATGCCGACCGTTTTGAAAACTTAATATGCTAAGTTCAGACTATACTTTTTCATTTTGTGCCGTTTTCGTTCCAATTTTTGCCGATATCGTGTAACGCACGGCCGAAACAGTATAATTTTTATAATATACCTTTTATGAGGGTAAACTTTGATTCTTTGAAAATATGTGACCGACCTCATATTTGCGACCAAATATTCGCCTTCGGCTCAGTGAATATAGGCTTGTAATCACCTCACCTTCGGCGACGCAAATTTTTTTTCCGTAGACAGTCGGTAGCATCCTTGATGGTCGGTAGTATCCTGTAGCGCTTATTTATTCGCGAATATTTTTGCGATAAAATCTCGCAGGGACAAAGCACTGCCGGAGCACTGGCCAGTGGCACTGGCACTGAGACACTGACACATTTGGTCAAAATTCCCAACAGCCAATGCGCGTATTTGTTAGCCTCAGAGAAGTATATTAAAAACATGTGTCTTTGGAGTTGCTGTAAAATATTATATTAATAAAAAAATATTAATTCAAGCTTATTGGCAAGACAAGACTTTCGACAATGTAACATTATTTCTTTGTTGGATTTTCAGGTGAGCAACTTTTATTCAAGCAAGCTACAATCTACCATTACTCCATTAATTAATGATCTACTATAATCAGATTTCAGATACTGAGATACTTTATATTTATACAAACTGCTTGTGGCTATTTCTAACTATATTCTTAATTATTATATAGCAATATTCACAGCAATATATGAATCACAGCAATATATGAATATTGCTATAAAACACGTTTTTTAACATGTAATGAATATTTTTATGTGGTCTCAACATATATTACTTTTTTTAGTAGCATCATCATGGCAGCCAATGGTTTAAAAGAACTGCTGAAGCAGTCTATCAGTGAAGTGCACAATACTTTTAATGGGACTAAAAATACTTGTGATTTAATATCATCTGTGGAGGACATCATACCATTACCTACCACTGAATTCAAAGTTCTGAATGTGCAAGGAACACCAATACAATTTAAAGCAAGCATTACATGTACCCTAAAGAATGGTGATGATTTGGATAAGTTCATTGACAACTACAGCACAAAAAATAATGAAACTTTGCGTGTTTCAAAATCAAGGAGTGTCACAGATCAGAATAGTCCATATCACCAAGTGAGATATTACAGATGCCACCACAACACCCGTTACAATGGCACGATGCATCCAGAAGCAGTCCTTCGTGAGAAGCCAGGAAAGCGCTTCAAAAACACCAATTGTGGATTTTCACTTATTGTCCGATTGGCAAAAAATGAAAGGCATAACTCACTGCTTGACATTGAATGGAATCACAACCACCCGACCAATTCCCTACCTGCCCTTAGTTTTCGAGATATACCACCTGAAGTTATTGAGAGGATAAAGGCTTTGTTTTCAGCTGGCTTACTTCCAGGTAATACTTTTATATGAATAATAATTTAATTGTTTAATTGCATACAGGCACAGTATGCTATTTGTGATTCTATTTGGTATCTGTGAGTAATAAAGCTATATTTTCTTTTTTCATTGATTTATTTCTTGCATTACTTCAATATATGTCATAGGTGCAGCACATAGAGAATTTATGAGAAAGCTGCGAAGTGAATGTGAAAATGATCTGGAATATCATGCAAAACTTGCTGATCGCTCCAAGGTTCCAAGGCGAAATGATTTCAATGCCATCTATGGTACATTTAATAAGTGCTTATATGGAACAGAAAGTTTAAAGTCGATGTTTTTAATGGTCAAAGAGAGAATTGTTTCTCTAAAAGAGAAGGATGATGATTATAGAATTGTTTTGCAAGAGTTCAATGAAGAAATTAATCAGCCATTCATCCTTACTTTGGTAACACCACTAATGAAAAGAGTACACAAATGGGTGAGAATATGATTAATGTACCCTAACAAGTCTATCAACTTCTGGTGCTTGCAAAAAAGTTGGATTCTACACAGGACCTGTAGGATCTACATAGGATTCTTGATTATTCCTAATCCTTTTTGGTCCTACGATATTGTATAGGATCCTATAGGTTATTTCACTATTGAATAATACCAATCCGCCACCATTGCTGACCTTAGGAAGTTTCCCCAATTGTTAATACATTGTACCTTTTCTTATTCAGTAATTTGTTTTACATTTGCTTTAGATCCCCCAGGCTGGAGATCTGGTGTTTGTTGACTCTTCTTCAAACATGGAGGAGTTCAACTTGCGTGTGTTTTTAATGATGACGCACAGCGTTTGCGGAGCACTGCCTTTGGCAATCATCATCACAAGTGATGAAACAACAGAAACACTAGTGACTGCCTTCTCCCAGCTGAAATCATCCCTACCAGCTGATGCCTTTTTTAGTGCCACTCCTGAGAAAGGCCCACGTGTCTTCATGACAGACAACTGTGCCGAGCTAAAGGATGCTATCCACCAAGTATGGCCTGCTGCTACAACTGTTCTCTGCATCTTTCATCTGCTTCAGCAGATCTGGAGGTGGTTGCATGATAAGAATCATGGCATACTATTAAAGGACAGGCCCCATCTTCTTCTGGGATTTAAGCGTGCTGTGTATGCTGAAGATGAGGAGGAGTTTCAATCGGAATATGAAAGCCTGCTTCAAGATGAGATTGCAATGAAATACCCCAATTTCAGCAAATATGCCTCTGCTGTGTACGAAGATTCGGAATCATGGGCTTTATGTTACCGCACAGAACTGCCATTGCGTGGGAACAACACAAACAATTTTTGTGAAGCACAATTTCTGGTGATCAAAGATGAGATATTGAATAGACAAAAAGAGGTTAATGTTGTTGGACTCATTGACAAACTAACAACTGGGCTTGAATACCATTATAAAAACAAGCTTCTAGCTATCTCTTCTGGAAAGTTTGATGGTATATACAGTGGACGATTTTCTGGTTTCTCAAAAAAGGGACAGGATGGCATTAGATTTAAAAAGCCGGCCACAGAAGCTCAGGCCCATGCATTGAAAGAACTTGTCTCCCTTGGCAACAATACCTTCCAGATGAAGAGCTTCACTGAAGAAGGCAAAAGCTACTTGGTGGACATGACCTTAGGTGTTTGTCAATGCAAGAGTGGTATGAATGGTGCCCCATGCAAGCATCAGTATGTTTTATGGGCAAACAAAATGGCTCATAGCACCAATTTCCTACCACTATTCAGCAAAGAACAGCGGATGGAATTTGCAAGAATTGCCATTGGTAATACAATGTCACTTCATCACTATGAGGGCCTTCATGACAGAGTAGTTGTAATGCCGGAAAGCAATGATCATGGATCTGCACATCAGGTAATTACAGTAATATTTATGGCTTACTTATGAGACTATGCTTGTGGCTTTACTTGTATGGTTATGGGATCATAAATCTGACAAATATCTTTTAAACTATTATTAACCCTTAACAGATATTTTAAAATAATTTAGCTGTTTTAAAAAACCATTACCACTAGCCAATTTAATAAAATATAAGAAAAAATTACACCGAAAAATGACATCTTGTAAACTCAAGATATGAGCTATATATCTTGTTGTCTATATATAGCTCATATCTTGAGTTTACAAGTTGTCATTTGTTTACAAGTCACTTCTTCTTATATTTTAGCTGTTTTACATTCTAATTTTCCAGATAGAGAATGATACCCAGGGCGAAAGTAATTTTACTGCAATGCAGCATAGAAATGTTCCACAAGAGGCGATTGCTAAAAGTGAATGTGAGGCTGCCCTCTCAGAAGTGATGAGTGCCATTAAATCCAAGATGGATGAATCCAACCAAGATTTCCTGAGAAGCATTCTTAAATTTGCTGGCCGATCAAAAAGTATGCCAGTGTCAAAACTAACCAGTTCATTTCATACCTTTGGTGCAGCTGGAGTCACCCATTCTCGAGCAACTGCAACATCAATTGTTAAGAGAGCAAAGCGGCAAAAGATAGCTGTGCAGCCAGAGGCTGTAAAACGAAGAAAGTGTGACTCTGGAGGTAGGGCAAAGCAACCTAAAGGACAAACTGTGAAGAGGAATCCATTTCAGAAGAAGGCAGGGAGAGTCAAACGACCTCACCAGTTTGCAGAAAACGTTCGCTGTAATGAGCCAATGTCAAAGAAAGCAGGCTGAAGTATGGCAACAAAAACAAGATGCTATGAAACAACATAGAGTGCAGGTGATGATCACATTAACCAATTTATATAACATATATCATATTAACAATTTAAAGTAAAACTATTTCTCAAATACAAATGTATGAATTCCTCAATGTCAAGGCCTGGGTGGTAAGGATTGTCAGAGCCAAAGAAATCTTAAATTCAAAAAAATTATGTCATCCATGGGTCAGATATTTGTGTCAAATTTCCCTGTATACTGTACTTTAGATTGTCAAATGGGAAAACCTCAATATCCAAATCCCCCTACCCATGTACAATTTGTCAAATATCCATGAATTGCCTGTCTCTAGGGCCTTGACATTGACAAGAATGTAAGGATGTTAGTGATACTTCTTATTATGCTTACGTAAATTGCCCAGAAGTGTAAATTTTGAAGTACATTTCTCACAGGAAAATTGCTTCAGCTTGTTGTGAGTAGTTTCATGCCGTTTTAAACCCTGCTTTGTTGAAAATGTTTTCTTACACACCTCACAGTGGTTGGCCTCTGGATTGTGGCACTTCATGTGTCTTCTAAGTGCCTCACCATTATGGAATGTTTTTCCACACTGTGTACAATCACAATTCCCACACTGCTTTTCATGGTAGGCTAAATCCTTAGCACGCTTGAAAACCTTTAGACACTTTGAACATTTATGCTCCACCAGGCCACAATCAATATCTTCCCTCATACGCTGACCTTCATTTATCCAATCCTAAGGTTGTAAACATTAGATTGATTAATATTGAAATATATGTTACCAGAAAAGCAAAAGTGGCATCTATTTCGCATTTTTGGCCAGTCAAGTTTCATATGGTTTTGTAATACCTGTCGCACACTCGCACTGCATTTTTTCCACATCGTTGCAGCAACTTTACTCATGTTACCCAGCTCGGTAGACACAACATCCTCATCATTGACAATCATACCCTGGTAAGATTTTAATAGTGAAATAAAATATACTGAATTAACAAGTCATTCCAGCACTTTATCCATCAAATATTACATTTTAACACACGCCTTAGCATTTCTGCCAAATTGTTCGATATCATTAGTAGATACTTGTAATAAATATATAAAGGCGATGTATATTAAATATGCCCAAACAAAGTTAATAAACATATGCTTACCGCAACGCTCTTGTAAAATGCATGATAACCGGTGTATTTCGATGTTTCGGTACCGTTGCTTAGTCTTTCCGCCATTAAACAATCTAGAACTCGACTTTGTTTATATAATAATTATAAAAAAACGCGAAAAAAACAATGATTTACTGCTACAATGGCAAACAAACTATAGAAATTAAGCGCGGAAATTTTCAATTTACTCATAATTCGCGCCAGGACTTCGCGCTTCACTCATAATTTGCGCCAAAATTTGCGCTTACGGAAATCGGAAATGTTCGTCGAACGTCGGCTGGTTACGACAGGATGCTACCACTGAGCTCTATAATAATTCAGTTCAATTATATAGCTCAGTGGATGCTACCGACCATCAAGGATGCTACCGACTGTCTACGGAAAAAAAATTTGCTTCGGCGACCAATCGTTGAATATTATAAAAATTTAATGGACAAAACAACAAAATTCATTCAAACACAGTAAATCAGCAAAAGACTGAAAAGAGCATGTATTTTAAGACTATTCATTAAGAACTATGGCGCTTTATTAGAACCTTTCTGTTTTCGATGAAATACAGCAACAAATTATTCGCATGCATGAAAAACAATCCAGAGTTTAGTAATATTTCGACCTATCCAAAACTGCTAAGTATAATTTCATTCATGCAATAGACAAGGCTACGAATTTTGTTCTTCGCTTTGATTAGCCAATCAAAACGTAAAAATAGTATTCTTAAAATTTTTATGGAACTGCATGTATGTATGTAAGACGAAGCATCGCAAGGAATAAAATTGCAATAGACATGGCCAGGGGCAGATCTAGGATTTTTCGTACCTTAGTCAAAAAGTTTCAGTCAAGAAATTCGAGGGGGGGGAGATGTCACATTTGTCAGGGGGGGTGCAGCTGCAATTTGACTGTTTTGCCAAATATCAGGGCTGATTTGCATGCCTAGGAAACGCATGATACTACAAAGATATTGTGTGATTCTGACATGGAAGGAATTTTCACATAAGAGCACATGCAGATTGTTTTTATGCACCAGCAGTGGCCCAGCACCCACCTTCAAATCTTTGCACTGGTGTAGACATTGGTGCAAATGATGCTTTACATATTGCAAGTAACCATACTTGATTAAATTTACATAAGTAAAGTGCAACCACAAATATGCTAGTTCGATTGAATATTTTGGTGTTTCTCACATCTATAACAAAACAAAATAGGAAGATTATCCAAACCTTCCTTTGGAGTTGAGCATGGTTGAATCATGCAATTAAATAGCAATTTACTTCTTTGTTCCCCACAATCAGGATAATAGGCAAAAGTATTCCTATTTAAAACTAAAGCAATTAAGACCCATTATACAGAGAAAGGGTGACCATTTCTTCTCACTGCAATTATATAAGTATATATATAGCTTCCTGTCTAACCAAGTCATATTTCATACAACCAGTATCTAAACATTCCTTAGAAACAAACATTGGCATAAGGTTATTGATACTTTGGCTGAAATATTGATCATACTCTTCCACCAGAAGAAAAACCAGGGTGCTGAGAATAAAAATCTGCATTAAGGAAGAGCTCTATGGACGTATAAATTCTCAATAGCTCCACTAGGCTATTGTTACTCACACTTCTACAAAGGACACATAGCTATACAAGCAGTTTCCAGTACTGTCAGATCTAAGAGAGACTAAGACATGAATGAAACTTGGTTTTATTACACCTAGGTAAATCTTAGTCAGTCACTTAGGTGAAGATGAATAAATATTAACCTAGTAATTGATAAACTTGATAGCAAAAACATCATGTTCCACTTTCATGAACCATTAAGTGTGAATAATTGGCAATATAATTATAGAATTGTTCTATAATAAACTAGTGTTCATCGTTTAAAATGTAATCATGCAGGAAATATGGCCACTTGTATGCTTTACTGTGATGCATTTTGAATAATTATTTTTGAAATTAAAACACAGTTCAGTGCTCTAAGCTTTGCCTTAATACATCGGGTTGTACATATCACAGAAGGTATTACAAAGTTCACATAATACATTATTACACTGCTCGATTCTTCTTGACTTGATGCGTATGCATACGCCTCAGTTATATGCAAATTAAAGCGAAATCCTATGAAAATTTCAACGTGCAACGTGTAAATTTCAACTTTATAGCTTGTGCAGCTTGACAGTTCTTCAACTCAAATTACACAATAACCAATAAACAAATGCACAAAATCTTTGTAAAATGTTGTTATGTTAACCTTAGGGCCATACAAAACTTCTTTGTTGTCTTCTGAACAGACATCGGGATGTATGATTCCGCAGCAAAATTCCTCGCGATGCAGAAGCTGGTGTTGTTCAGTTCGTTTAAAAATTGCTCAGTTGAACGCTTTGCTGCGGCATCTATTCGCTTCTTCAGATCGGCCTCGATAGTTTTAAGATATAGCCGAACGTCTTTCTCCAAAGCACATCTCACGGCGTTGTAGATTAATAAATAGTTTTCATAATAAATTTTTTCTTTCAGTTTGATAATTGTTTGAGTTTTCTTTACTGTCAAAACTACAATGACGTCAATCAAAAAGGCCAAGGAACCTTGCTGTTTGCATGCTCTCAGGTCAAGGTCACACTGATCGATCAGAAAAATACAATCAATGAGAATTCAGATAGATTTTGAATTAGCCTGTTGAATAGCCCAATTCGAGCCCCTGATCACTTCACCAATCAGAACCACCCACAGATTGCACAAAAAGAGGGACAGCCAATCAGATGACTGGGATTTGATGACAAAGCGAGCAAAATTCATGCATAAGACCACTTTTCTGCGCGCTCGTGCTTGAAGGCCTGGTCACGGAACTCTTTTAACAACTGGACTGCCAAACATCACCCAGTGAGTGACATCAGTCCAATACACTGCACGTGTTTAGCAACTGGACTGCTATTTCATTGAAACACTTTTCTTGGCAATTTTTACCTTAGTCGCGTGATCGCTCTGATCACCCCTAGGATCCGCCCCTGGACATGACTACGAATCAAAATCGAAAAAAGGAAATATAGATACTGAATAAAATCACTAAAATACACTATTAATTAAGTGCAAACTTCAAGCAAATCACTTGTTCAAATTTTCCCATGCAGTAACTACTTGAGAATTCGTAAGGGTTTTATGAATTCAATGTTATATAGCCGACGTTGTTGATACTTGTAATAAGCCGACGTTGTTGGTACGAACTTTCAGGAAAATCCTAGCTGTTTTCTCTTTAACTTATATACTGTTAATGCATGCTTGGTGGAACATGTTCTTATCCAATAAATAACTATCCACTGGATAGAAGACTTTTCTGGGGCCGGTCGGTATCAAGCCCGTTTAGCTTAAACAGTGGAACTTATTTTGAACTTATATCCACCGTTTAAGCTAAACAGGCTTGATACAACCGTAATCAGGGGCCGGTTGTTTGAAAGATGGATAAAGTTATCCACTGCATGGATAGTGATTATTTCAAACATCCTCACCACTACTAGGCATGGCCAAGATTGAACTTCACAATTTTGAAGTTAAAATACTTTTTAACGATAATAAATTTAATATAAGCATAGCTTTATCGTTTTTCAAGATTTTCTATATATAACGGTTGAAAAAGTCACTATCCAGTGGAAAAATTTATCCACCTTTCTAACAATCGGCCTCTGCTACATACAGGTGCTTCTGCTATTAAATAAGTGTACTGTAGAGTATAGTACGCGGAATCGATAATCCATTAAAGAAACTTTGACCGTCCAAAATAAACAGTAACGCATTTCTTATCTTAATTACCCTATAAAATCACATTCATTCCCAAACTGTAGACGTGTAGTAAAACTGTTTATTAAAAAAAATATACGTACTAGATTTGTCTGTG